ACCAGCATGTATTTAGAATGCACAATTTGATAAGTTTTGATATAGGTATACATCAGTGAAGCCATTTCTACAATCAAAGTAATTTACATATCCATCAACCCTTACAGTTTCTTATTGCCCCTTCAGAGTCCCTCACTCCTGCTTCTCCTTCATCTTTACCCAACTTCATTCCCATGCAATCATTGATCTACTGTAACTGTAGATTAGGTTGCATGTAAAAAACTTTTATGTAAGTGGAATCACACATTATGTACTTTTTTTGGTCCAGTTTCTTTCATTCAGCATAATTATTTTGAGATTCACTTACATTGTACATTTCAGTACCTTATTTTTTAAATTGCCGAGTAGTATTTCATTGTATAGATGTACCACAATTTGATTATTCATTTAGATTCTTTCTAGTTTTTAGTTATTACAAATGAAGCTACTTTGAACATTTGGGTGCATATTTTGGGTGCATATTTGGGTGCATATTTTCTTTTATTTCTCTTGGGTAAATATCTAGGAGTGGAATGGCTGGGTTACATAGGTGTGTTTAACTTCATAATAACTGCTAATTTTTTCCAAAGTGGTTGTTCCTTTATACATTCCTACCAGATATGCCTCACATGCTTAGTAACACTTGGTATATTTTGTTTTCAGTTTTAGCCATTTAATTGTTTATAGTAGTATCTCATTGTGGCTTTTATTTGTTTCCCTAATGACTGATGATGTTGAGAATCTTTTCATTAACTGAGAGAGATTTTAAAAACTGACAATTTTTGACATTTTATTACTTTTTCTTTCTTGTATTTTGAAACTAGGTAAATATTAGGTAAATAAATATTTAGGCTCATTATGTCCTCTAAATGAATTGACCTTTTATTGGTATACAAGAATCCTTTTTCCCTAGTTACATTCTTTTTTCAAAGTGTATTTTATTGATTATGCTATTATAGTTGTCCCATTTTTTTCTCCCCTTTGTCTCCCTCTGCCCTGCACTGCCCCTCCCTCCAGCATCCCCCTACCTGCTTAGTTCATGTCCATGGGTCGTACATATAAGCTTCTCCATTTCCTATACTATTCTTAACCTCCACCTATTTTGTGCCTACCAATTATGCTTCTTATTCCCTGTACCTTTTTCCCCAATTCTCCCCCTCCCCTCCCCACTGATAACCCTCAATGTGACCTCCATCTCTATCATTCTGTTCCTGTTCTAGTTGTTTGCTTAGTTTTTGTTTTTGTGTTTTAGGGTCACGTATTGATAGTTGTGAGTTTGTTGTTATTTTACTGTTAATATTTTGATCATCTTCTTTTTCTTAGATAAGTCCCCTTAACATTTCATATAATAAGGGCTTGGTGATGATGAACTCCTTTAACTTGACCTTATCTGAGAAGCACTTTATTTGCCCTTCCATTCTAAATGATGGCTTTGCTGGGTATAGTAATCTTGGATGTAGGTCCTTGCCTTTCATGACTTTGAACACTTCTTCTGAGCCCCTTCTTGCCTGCAAGGTTTCTTTTGAGAAATCTGCTGACAGCCTTATGGGAACTCCTTTGCAGGTTACTGTTTCCTTTTCTCTTGCTTCTTTTAAGATTCTCTCCTTATCTTTAACATTGGATAACTTAATTATGATGTACCGTGGTGTATGCTTCCTTGGGTCCAACTTCTTTAGGACTCTCTGAGCATCCTGGACTTGCATGTCTAGTTCTTTCACTGGATTGGGGAAGTTCTCCTTCATTATGTATTCAAATAAGTTTTCAGTTTCTTGCTTTTACTCTTCTCCTTCTGGCAGTCCTATGATTAAGATGTTGAAACATTTAAAGTTGTCCCAGAGGTTCCTCTCCTCATATTTTTGAATTCTTGTTTCTTCATTCTGTTCTGGTTGAATGTTTATTTCTTCCTTTTGTTCCAAATCATTGATTTGAGTTCCAGTTTCCTTCCCTTCACTGTTGGTTCTTTGTGTATTTTCTTTTATTTTACTTTGTATAGCTTCATTTCTTCCTTTATTTTGTGACCATACTCAATCATTTCTGTGAGCACCCTGATTACCAGTGTTTTGAACTCTGCATCTGATAGGTTTTATATCTCCTTGTCACTAAGTTCTTTTTCTGGAGTTTTCATCTATTCTTTCATTTGGCCATATTTCTTTGTCTTGGGCCATCTGTCATTTTACATGGGGCAGAGTCTTAGGTATTCACCAGGGCTGGGAAACCTACTTCGCTGGGTTGTGGTGCTATAGGTGGGGGAATTGTCAGAGGGAGAACAAAGGTGCTTGCTAGGTTGCTTGGCTTTGCCCCGTGTTCAGTTACTTGCCTCAGTTCCCACAAGCAGATTGGGCCCTTTCAGGTGCTGATTCCCAGGTGGGTGGGCTTGTGTACATTCTGGAATTCTGTGGGCCTGTCCAATGGACTGTCCTGTGAGACTGGGAATTTATTCTGCTCTGCAACCCCCACAGATTTTTACAGCCAGAGGTTTTGATGCTTTATTTCCCTGCACTGGAACCCTGGGTTGCATGGTTTGTCTCGCTCTCTAGTTGTTCCTCCCATCTTATCCATATAAGAATGTGGGATATCCCAGCTGGACAACTGCTGCCTTGTCTGCCCCTCTCTGTTAACAGCCATTGCCTTGTCTTGCATCCTCTCTGCCCTGGCTGCTCATCTCTGCCTCTCCTACGAGTCTAGATAAATGTTTCTTCTTTAACATCTTGGTTGTTAGACTTCCATGCAGTTTGATTTTCTGGCAGTTCCGGTTGTATTTTGTTTTTAAATTGGTTGTTATCCTTCTTTTGGTTGTGTGAGGAAGTGAAACATAATCTACCTATGCTTCCATCATGGCTGGAACTCCCTTAATTATATTCTTTACTCTGTCATCTACTTTGTCTGACAGCCATTGCAACTTTCTTTCTATTAGTTGTACCATGGTATGTGTCTTTCATGTTTTCACTTTTGAAATATTTTTTCTTCATTTTTAAAATGGATTTTTTTTTACATATTGCATGCAGTTGAGCCTTGCATTTTATTACAGTATGACAATCTTCTTCCTTTTAATTTGGTGTTTAGATCATTTACATTTAGTGTGATTATTGATGTAGTTGATTCTTTTTTTTCTATTTGTATCATCTGTTCATTATTCCCCTTTCCCTGTTTTCTTTTTAATTTATTGAGAATTTTATGACTTTATTTTAAGTGTTTTGTTGGCTAATTCTTCTAATATTCTGTTGTATTACATTTTATTGCTTGATTTACAATTCATATCAACCCTTTACAATTTATGATAGTTTTACTTCAAGTAGTATTGTCCCACTTTACATATGGTATGAGAATTTTACACTAGTATACTTTCACTTCTCTCTCCTAGCCTTTGTGCTATTGTTGTCATACACATTATTTATACATATGTTATATACCTAAAAGCAATAATTTTGATTTTGAATAATCAGTAATATTTTAAAGTTATTTAAAATGAAAGAAACAGTCTTTTATATTTACCCACATATATCATTTTCAGTGTACTATATTCCTTTGTGTAGATTCAGATTTCTGCTTGGTAACATTACCTGCTACCTTATAGCATATCCCACATTTCTTGTAGTATATATATGCTGATGAGCTTGTAAGATTTTCTTCAGCTTTTGTATTTCTGAAAAATCTTTATTTTGCTAGGTATAAAACTTCAGATTAACTTTTTTGTTCAATAATTTGAAAATATTAAGATGTCTTTTTGCTTGCATTGTTTTTAAAAATAAATCTGCTGTAATTCTTACATATGTTCTTCTAAATATGATGTGTCATTTTCCTCTGGCTACTTTTATGATTTTCTCTTTCCACTTGTAAGCAATTTGATTGTTTTGTGCCTTAGTGTAGTTTTCTTAATGTTTCTTGAGATGGGGTTTTTTTGAAATTCTTATATCTGTTGGTTTTGTTTTTGTCACACGTGGAAAAATCTTCAGATATTTTTTGTTCACTCCTATTTTTTTGTGGAATTCAATTACACATATGCTTGGTAGCTTGAAATTATCTTATAGTTGACTGATTCTTTTCACATTTAAACAATTGTTTTCACTCTTTTATTTTTATCTATGTTACAAAAGTTTGATTTATTTATCTTTTTGTGGTAGCTTGTAAGCTCTTAGACAAATAAGCTCTATCTTGTTTATCTATTCTTAGTTGCCAACAGTGCATAAGTGCTTAGATATCTGTTGCAAAAGTGAATAATCAAGAGTGCCTTACACCTTTTATAAAATATTCATCAGTAGAATTTTTTTATTGGAAAGGAAAGAGAGGTGGTTTTGGAGTATGAGAACATTTGAGCAGATTGAAAGCAGAAAAAAAATATGGTTTTGATGACGATCCAGAGGACAGCATGAGAGCAGAAAGTGGTTGGTCGAGGTCAGTAATATAGAGTAATAATGATACTGATAATAATAGTAATGATGATGATGATGATGATGATGATGATGATGATAGTGAAAGTGAGGGGGGATAAAGGAGTACAGATTGGGAAAAACATACCGAAGTGTGTCAATGAAACCATTTCCTGATTACATTGCTGTAATCTAGATGGTAATATTGGTAACATTATACAAATATATATTGTATGAATTCTTGTAATTTGAAGTGTTGTAATAAAAGCTTTTAAACAAAGTGCTGAGAGAATACAACATACTGTTTTGGAGTAGGTGAACCTTGGAAGGAAGTGTAGGAATGGATTAATTGAGAAAAACCAGACAGGAATTCTAGCTAGTACAGAATAACATAAACACAAAAATAATATAGGCCGTAAATAAGCATAATGTAGCAGAAAGAACAAATGGACCTTAGAGTTGGGTTCATAAGGCTTTACTCTCATCTCCATTATTGGTATCATTCTGGACAAATTACTTAACTTGAGATTCAATTTCCTCATCTGTAAAATGGGTGTGGTTGCTGGGAAGATTAAGATTATCTGATGCATAGAGATCATTTATTTTATATCTGGCAGATAGTGGGTCCAATAACTATTAGTTTCTTCTTTTTAGACATTCTATATCTTCTGATGAGGAAAGGAAAATGCTTCAAGAAGGACTTTGTGACCCCTCATCACTTTGTATAAGAGCCCAGGTATAATATATATATATATATATATGTATACATATATAATTTATGAGTATAACTAATGTTCCCACTTATTTCTTATTTCTGTGGCAAATGGGGATTGCATTGAATTTTTGTGGTCTAATACTAAGGGCTAGGTAAACTTTAACACCCAGTTTCTTCAGTTTTCTAGTTTTAACTTATATTGAAAACTATTGGGATTATTGGCTAAACTTTGCATATAAATTAAACCATTTTACTACCACAATTAAATATTTTTCAGAAATGCTTCTACTTATAGGGGGCATAACTATTGAATGAAAGATTGGACAGATGAGTATCAAAAATCTTTAATTTTCCCATGTTTTGAACTATTAATTAATTAATTAATTAATTAATTTTATAATTGACATGCAACATATTAGTTTCAGGTGTAGGTTATGTATTTTATGAAAAAAATCAGTTTTGATCTTAATTTCCTCTCAGGGAAATGATATAATATAAAGAAAGTACAGGGTAAAGTTTAGAAACCTTTGTCTTTAAAAAATAATCATACTTTAAATCCCCAAACAACTTATAAAAGACCATGGTTAATGTACACTACTCACAATATTTTGAATATATGAATATTTTAAAAGTGGTTCCAGTATAACTAATCTAGAAAGTGGAGAAATCTTTTATTTCTTCACTGAAGGAAAAATTTAGGACTCCTCTAGTTAATTAATGTGTTTGGTTAAGGGAACTAAAGAATTTGTAGTCAAGTAGAATAAAAAGTGATTAACCGTAATAATACTTTTGGAGCCAATTTACAGCACTGTTTTTTCTTCTTGAATACTTTCATTGATGCATACAATTTGTAAGTGTAGTACACAATGCTGCTAATCCTGCTAAATGAAGAACCACCTTTAGTCATCTGCCTGCTATCTCAGTGCTAGGTGCTGAGTTGTCAAAGACCTGGCATGGAGTGTTACCTGGCTTCGTTTGCTCCCTTTGCTATAGACTGGTTCTTTGCATTTATGAACCTTAGTCTGGCCTTGATGACAGCTTGCTTGGTTAGAGTCACTTTATTTTCAGTTTAAGACATGCCATCTCCAGGATGTTTGTAAACATGTTGAGAGGCTGAGTTTTGATGGATCTCACAAAACTCCTCTATAGGGCATGAACTGAAATGGAGGAGCCAACAATATTAATAATTTAGCATTTGGCAGTATTGTGGATATTAATGCATTTGTAATTCACCTTGACAAACCTTGGCCCAATCACATGTGAAAGTTAATTTAGTCATTTCATTTCAGTCTCTGGTGAGTATTTTAATGCTTTTTTTTTAACCCATATGTGAAATAGAGAAAATAATAACCACTCCTTAGAAATGCAAACTTCATAGTCCACATGACTATGTGTTGTGAAATAAAAGAAAATATGTTACAATAAATTACCATCTTGATTTAATAAAAGTAATGTTTAGGAATTTTTATATACATTATGGCTGATTTTGGATATTTTAAATTGCTCATTTATTCAAAATTTCAGGACAAAGTACTTATTTTGGTATCATAGGTAAACATTTAACTCTTTACTTTAAATAATCAGTAAATTTAGCACTTAGTGTAGGTAAACTGTAAAGCATTTGTCAAAAATTAAAACATGCTAATAATAGTAGGTATATATAATAGATAAGTATATTCAGCATTTAGGACTTAGAGTTATTTTTAAAAAGTTACTTTCATGGGGAAATAAATGTATCTTCTTGTATTAAAATGCCTTAGTAATGACATGATTTCTATTAAGTTATTAGTAATTCCAGGACACACCTCATGAGTTGTGTGGCCTGGAAATAATACAGCAATGACTGGAGTGGAAAGATCCTGATTCTTAAAATTTGGTGGCTTATTGAGCTGTCTGAAAAATCTATGCCCTTCTGGCACATACCAAATGCATTTAAAATTGTAAATGGATGTTTTGTAGTTATCTAACCTAGCTTCTTTCAGGCTAATATAACCACTTTGTTGTCAGATTTTCTCTTTTGAATGGTATAAATTAGGAATTTAAATTTTTATATAAATAAAAGTTTATTTTTTGGTCCTTGAAATATTTAGGTCCATATTTTTACCTAGAAGTTCTTACTATTACATTCAAGTTGAACTATAAGGGAAACAAGATTAAAAATTTGAAATAACCTTTTGTGGTGATAAAATATTTACGTTACTCGGTGCAAAACAGTGACATAATAAAACTGAAGTAAACAAATCAAATGGAGACTATTTTTTGGCTGCTTATAAAAATGATTTTAACTTTAAATAATGTTAGTGTAGTCAGAGACATGTCTCAATATTATATTTCATTAACATAAATCTTCAAATGAGCAATTATGTCCACATGATAAATATGTGGGGTTAATGATGGTAATTTGCCACCTGTGTCATGAAGCAGCTCCTTTTGATCCTTATGTAAAAATTTCCTTAGTTTTCTAGGTAAGGCTTTAGAGTCTGAAAAAATCCAAATTGAAAGGAAAAAAAAACACTATAAAAATATCACTCTTGTCAAGAAATGAATCATGCCTAAGGTCTGAAAATAAGTAGAAAAGAATTAGAGGCATATTTCAGATAGCAGATTGGATCCATTCAAAGAATTTGTAGGAGTGTCTTTATTATGTTATGGTAGTAAAAAATGGCATTGTGCTACCAGCTTAGTAATAAAAAGGAATAGATTTTAAACTATAAGCTAGTTTAGTAACTTTGGTTCAGTTTCTCTCCACATCTGTATTCCTTATAAAGGAGAATGCACTACATCTTTGTGAACAACCTGAACTTTTCTTACTGTGGGAAATCCTAAAGTCTAACTTGGCTTTTGGCATAGTCTAAGTTACGTGGTTTAGGTAAAGTAGATCTTAAAAAAGAAAAATTGGATAATCAGCAAACGCCAGCAGATATTTTGACACACTCTTGGAGCTGATAAGAGTCGTCATAAATTTAAACATAACCTTTCCTACCACAGAAACTTCACTAATAAATGGCTTTGAATATTTTATGAATGACTGAGCACCTTGCTTTGCTAATAAGTCCTCTGGAAGCTATGACTTTTGGGGGGATGGTTTTACTTTTGGAGGAAGGCGTGTTGAAGAAAAGATACTGATGAGGTGTCATATAATTTTACAAGTTGTATAACTGCTTTTAACTATGAAACTATCTGATTAAAATAACAATTGAGCTTGTAATTTTTTTCTGAGCAGCTGCTGCTACAGGGGTCATTTCCTTGGAGAGTTTGAAAATAATCGTACTCCTGGTACATGAGTTATGTAGTCTTGTGTTTTACAGCAAAGCACAAAGTTTAAAGCCTATAGAAGAATGTTATTTGAAAGCTGTCAAACCATGTTAAAAAAGACTGCATCGTCAAAAGGCCCTGGTGGCCACGATTCTGCATGTAGCCTTGTCTTATTCATTATAAAATGCATGTTTATAAAGTTCCACAGAGCATCCAATTCCCAATTCACTTATATCAGCAAGACTTAACTTGCTCATTAATCTAAATTCTTTTGCAACTTTAATCTACATGTTTAATTAATCATAAAATGAGGCGGTAAGTAATTTCAGCAATGTGTGGCTTGTTATCAGATGCATTTAATCACTCTTCTGTGAGCTCATTTGGAAACACCTGAAGATGTCGAGTGCAGTTTGAATAAGCATAAATTATTCTTTGTCAGTGTACTTCACTCAACTAATAAGACATTAATTTAAAAGGCACTGTTTGTCATTTTTAGATCTTTACCAATATTTTTAGCTTGGCAATATAACTCTAATTGTATATATGATTCACAACTAATGCCCGACATAGGAAAGGGTAAGAGTTTAATTCATTTTTCTTATTTACATGTAATTATGTCATGTAATCCTAGTTTTTAATGAGGATTAACCCTCTTTTAAGTATTCATATGCTTTTAGAATAATGTACTAATGAATTATAGTTAGAAAAATTATTTGTTGGTACAAAGGATTGTGATGTCTAGGTTAGGTCTGAAAGGACATGGGATTGGGGAGAGGGCATTGATTTGAAAATACAGGTATTACACAGGGATTATATGAGACAGATATTAACATTCAAAAAATCTAAGTAATATAACATATTTATCTATCTCATATAATAATATATATAGTCCTCATGTAGGACTAGGTAGCCTATATGATGACAGCAGTTTTTATAAAGGCAAAAACCAAAAACAACAATAATAACGAAGCCTACTCATAGCTTCAGAACCAAAAAAAAAATTCATGAGAGCTGAGTGAATTATATATCTCGATGTCAGCAGTATAGGAATAAAAATTGCATTTTATAGGATGTCATCACCTGTCCTGTTTATGCCATGAAAACAGTGACACGCGGTAAGAATAATTACCTCAGTGGAAATAAATTTATTTACCTGCCGTGGAACATCTCTGTTCATCTTACTCATGAAGTCATCTCACTCATACTCCATCTGTGGATTGTCAGCAGTAAGCCAGAGGGGATGATTCCTGAGAAGGGAATATTGGTTTCAGCTGAAATATAGCCGTATTCTCCATTTTTATTTGATGTGCAAAACTCCTGGGCTTCTTCCCTTTCTTAGGAGATCCTTTACACTAAGCTAACAGTTATTTATATGTCCATCTCTGACCCAATACCTCATGACTATGTAAAAATTTTTCTTTCTGTTTAACTTTCTAAGGGAGAACAAAATCCCAGGAAATCTCATTTGTACTGTTGAAGTCATATAGACCATAGCAGCACATCACGTGAAATGCCATTTACCCTTATTCACTTAAAGAATCATAAATTGTATTTTTATTTATTTTTAATTTTTTAAAATAATTTTTATTGTTATTCTATTACATTTGTCCCAATTTCCCCCTTTTCTCTCCTTCGCCCATCTCACCCCCTGCTCCTGTGGACAATTCCACACTGTTGTCCCATGTCTGTGAGTCATTCATACATGTTCTTTGACTAGTCCCTCCCCCTTCTTTCCACCATTATTACCATCCTCTCCCCTCTGGTCA